ATTAACCTATCTATGGCTCAATTCCCTTGGTCTTTTTCGAGGAATAAGGCTTTTACTACCGCCTTATCCATGTGAGTAATATTCCTCGCAAATGCACTGAGCAACACAGCGTAGTCGCCGCAAAGAATGAAATCGGCCTGCTGGAGCTCAAATTATGCGTCATATGTATCTCAGGATTATATTTATTTATCAATTTTTCAGCTCTCGAATAGATGCAACACAAATTTCCTGCAACTTTAGATTTTGAAAATGAAACACTTGTTCGCAAATGGGCTAGGAAATCAGCAGGCAACCATATACGAAACCCCATGCATCTTTTCATAACCACGGTCGGTTGCATGCAAGCAAGGAATTCCTAGACGATGCTTATGCAGGGGTTCTTACTACGCTTTCACATGCTGATTGATGCTTCTTTTGGCAAACTACGCCACATTATTTCATAAGAATGTTTCATACTGCTTACACACAATGTGCAGAATATATTCCCATTGCGTTTCTAGCATCACCGGATTTCTCTGAGAGGGTGGTAGGTTGGTGGTTCTACCAGACCTATATGACATTCCATTTGGAACGTGGTTTGTCACGTGTTGGGGCTAAAGCCTCCTCGTACAAACTTTATTTAGCAGAATGGTGCTGCGATACCAGGAGGTCTTTTAGTTACTTTCTAAGCAATCAACAGGATGCGTTTTTGTTTCTGCTTACGTGCTGTAGTTTAGTCTATGGAATGAAAGCGAAGAAAGACACTCGCATGAACAATAGCAATGGCGTTTCAAAAATATCTTTAAAATATCATTTTAAATAAATATATGTATATATATATATATATATATTAATATTATGGTGAATGCTCTAAATCAGGATAGGCGTCATTACTTGATTTCCTGCAGGATATCCGAATTGCGACCGCGCAGTGTTGGCTTCGGGTAGGAGCATGATTGCAGGGCATAGACCCCGATCGGGAACTTTTACATTTGTGGTCACCCCCGCTGTACAAAAAGCTCCGAACTCGGATAAAACAAAGATAAATGAAACATCAAAAAAATATCTGACAAAAGCGTTCATATTTTCCCCCTTCTGTCTTGCTGTTTGCAGATGGAAATACGTTCAGTGAACTTAAACGAAAGTATGATTTCATTACACTTATCAAGTGCTTTTCAGCAGTGAGTGAAAGTGTGAACAGTTGTTCAGTGTATTGGCGAGGAACATTATTCACATAGACAAGGCAGTACCATTAGCCTTATTCCTCGGAAAAACCAGGAGAATGGAGATATAGTTGGGCTATGTTTTTTTTGGAGGGTGCCTGGTTTCTATCCGAGCAATGAGCCTAATAACCTAACTATATCTCCATTCTCCTGGTTTTTCAGAGGAATAAGGCTAATACTACTGCCTTATCGAAGTGTGAAAAGTGTGAGCTTTTGCGTCTGGAGCGTTTAGTCCATTTAAATATATCTGTCTTGGATGCTCGCTTGAGGTTCTCTGGGTTTTTTTCAGGTGAATGGCACACACTCGCCGCATCCCATTTGTGTTACAAGGGGTCGCATATGTGGCCGAAAGCGTCGCCCATGGTTCCGCAGCGCGCGGAAAGCCTTTGAAGGCCTAACAAACGAACTCAACAAATCTTGGAGGCGGATATCAAGGGACAAGGTGTCACAAGTGAAGTGGAAATAGGCAAGAAATGGTCCCCTCCCATTGTCATCGTCCTCCACAGTCAAGCTCCCGCACTCAGCGTAAAATCCTTTATTCGCTCTATGGGTCAATGACGCTGACATCCCTCAGAATCCCAGTCCCCGCTCCATTCCATGGCAAGGGTTTCGCCATCATTGGTTGGCTGGGGGACTGACAGCCTGCGGTACATTGCTGCAAATGAGGTTTAAAAAGATGGGTGGGGGGGGGGGGGGGGGGGGGTTCGCAGTCGTACTTTGCACTCAGCCCACCTACACTGATCTAAGGTTAAATTATGACAGCGAATATCCATGGTGAAGGTCTGAGGTACCGGACCGAGGTCGACTTCTCTGAATTCATGACGAGCGCAAAGCTCTTCTAAAATTATATTTTCTTTTTCTGACACACCACCGCTAAATTGATAAAATTTAAGTTTTTTCCAGTTTGGAATATTCTACTTAATATTTGTAACCATTATAACACCAAATTGGGATAAAATCCCAAATTTATACTGCCGACAATATTTTAGCGCGCCAAAGGCACACTTGATGTCCGTTATCACCAACGCATTTTTTCTAATAATATTTTTACGCATCTACCTCGATTTTAACATTTTTATACCTATTCACATTACATCAATGAATTTAAAACCTTGATTAGGCTGGACAACTTACCACCGCCCCTTTCCCTGCACACACCCCTGTAAAGGTCAAACAAAATCATCAGATATGCCGCTGTGTACGAAAGAATAAAACTGGGGTGGTGGGCTTCAACATGCCACCCGCTGTAACATCAAGCTCACATCCGACCGATTGACGGCATTTCTGCTCCACTGAATAGGCGCTGTCGCTGTTGTGATCGCTCCTCTGAGCTACGCTGCCAACAGAGCTGGCCGCCGCTTTGTGACGTGCTGGTCTGCGGTGCAGTTTGTGACGTGCTGGTCTGCGGTGCAGTTTGTGACGTGCTGGTCTGCGGTGCAGTTTGTGACGTGCTGGTCTGCGGTGCAGTTTGTGACGTGCTGGTCTGCGGTGCAGTTTGTGACGTGCTGGACTGCGGTACAGTTTGTGACGTGCTGGTCTGCGGTGCAGTTTGTGACGTGCTGGTCTGCGGTGCAGTTTGGGCTGGTCCGTGGCCTGTTTCGTGCACGCTGCGCTCCGCTGTGCACTATCACGACGTAAGCGTGGGAAGCCGCGTCTCTAACAGTGATGATGGGCGGAGAACTGGCGTGGACAAAAACATCACCAATGAGCCATGAAGCCCATAAACTGCACTCAACGGCTTGGACGTTTTTAAAAGATGTTGATACATATATGCTAGTTTTACGTTCTAATTCCGACAGTGTTCAACATGGTATTGCCAATGTAACTGGCACACAAATCTTGCAATAACTCAAATATACATATACATATCTATATGCATCATGCATGAGCTATTGCAGCCTTCCCAAACGAAAAACGAGATGAAAATCATGCAGCTTGTTCACGCTACCTGTTGCGGTTGAGCGATCGCGACACATTACATCAAACCAAACCATATTCTCCAAGGTTTAGGCAGCGCTAGTTTGGAAGTGTTTAGGCGGACCATTGAAGCCATGGCCATGTGTTTAGTAACCAAACATGGCACCCAACTACAGGAACTGAGGTTTTGTTTTTCTGAAGCCGAGTCGCACATCTTTTATCGCATTCCGCTACCAAGTTATTTATGACAACACATAGCCTGTTAGCTGCCAGTACGTTACATTTACCACCCATGGGTGTATGACGTCCTACCTACCTTGACCTGGTGCTGAATAACCGCCTGATCCGACTGAGCATTGTCAGTCTGTTTCCCTTAAGCTGCAGCAGCCTGGTGCCGCCGCGTGCCGCTGTGTCCCTTTCCACCGAACCTGGCCTCTCACGTGTATGCACCACCACCCTCCGTGTCTGCACCACGCAGTCACCAGCTGCGTGCTCAGTCGACAGCACCCACCTACCTTGTCCCACGATGTAAGTGCCGGTCATCTCCAAGGCGCCGTCGCCTTCGCACTGCCGTCCTCTGTGTCTTCTGCACTCGCACTCACACAAGTCCTTGCACTCGCACTCACACAAGTCTCTGCCTCGCACTCACACAAGTCTTTGCCTCGCACTCCGTCCTTTGCAGGCAGAGGCATGTGCAGTATTTCGCAATGGGACGGGGAAAAACTCCGATTTGTTGTTGAACAACTACTGCGGCGCGCCGCCGGCACGCAACTTTTTGTGTGCCGTATAATGATATCGCATGCTTACGATTCATTTATTTTTGCCGTTTATTTCGACTTTTCAGTTCCAACATTACGTAACATAAAGATTCATTTATGCAATCAACTGATGGGGGAGGGAGAATGCGCTCCATCTCCATTCGATTACAACCGTGGGTGGGGGTAGAGGCGGGGGCAGGGGTGAGGGGGCAGAAGCGTAGTGTATCCCTCCCTTGGTCACTTCCGAATCGGGCCCTGGTGGTCGGCCAATGCGTGACGGGATGATGCCCGACCCTAAATAACGTATAAAATGAGCCTTGCCTTCAGACATGCTTGATCTCTACCTCTGCTGGGCATGTAGCTTTCATACCACTCGCATTCTTCAGTTTGCGAAAGGGTAAAAAAGGTGCAACTATTACTTTCGAAAGGCCTTTTGAGAATATCGCACAAACACGGGGATTTGTGGGAAGTCTTCCATTCTTCAAGAGAGAAGCATACGCCTTCCGGAAATGGTTCTAGCAGACTCCATGAAATTTCAGTTGGATTCCGATAACCATTATTGCTACCGCGGTCGCTCATGGATGTTCTTTTTCCGTACGCGGCCTCTCCCCATTCAGTTATTGCTCAAATGTGTGAGGTATATTGCAGAATGTCCTTGCCACGAAGTAGTGTGCATGTGATAAATACTATCAACAAACATTCTATGCACGCTTGCGTATGACTATGCTCGTGAGTATCATTGGACTCGGAGCTTCGGCGTGTCCGACCTGAGGACCTTTTGCTGAAATCAAGCTGTTACATGACGCACCCCAGCAAAATATCATCAGCACAGAGTGGACCGTAGCGAAGTGGCATTCGATCCTCACTGCATATCATTCGTGATTGCGCTTCGGATACAGACGCCGTTCGCGATCAATGCGTCTGTTTTGTTTTGTGCGTTATAAAACCAATCTGTCGTCGGCTGTCCGTGGGAGTGCGGCCTTGATCTCGTCGGCCGACGCTGTTACTGGGAGCCGCCGCTAGATCGCGCCGCCGCCGACGCGTCGCGCACGCTCGACGGCCTGCCGGGGGAGTGGCTGGCGCCGCCGCGCCGACCGGCAGTAGTCGCCACGGCTCGGAGAGGGGGCCGCGCCTCGGGCTGTAGTGCGAACGTCTCACGTGCGGTGGTGGTCGCGTGACGACGCGCGTGCCCTGGAAATGTGCGTAGCGCGGCTTCGGGGACGCCCAACCGAAGCGAGACGTGGTGATGTGCTCTGTGCGCGAGTTTTGGTGCTGACAAGCTGCTATGTTGTGTGCGAATGAATCGGCCGGCTGAACCTCAAGTTATTGGCGCCATGAGAGGACTTAAGGCCGTTATGGGCATCGTATTTTTGATCCAAGGTGAGCACACTCCACTTCGTCAAAGCTGGTTAGTGCGTTTCGTCGGTAGCGTTGCATTGTACGTGAAGATTATTTTTGTTTGTCTTCTGTCTGCTGGCCAGCCGCAGGTGGATAACACATACGGCAAGTGAACTACCATTGGCAAGCCAGTTTTTCCGGGCTGAGATGTGACTCCATTGCTTTCTAAAAGCAGGGCTTTTTCCCTGGCATGCATGTCGAGCAATGCAAGGATAAGTCTAGGCTTGCGCCACATGCTCCGTCATTTGACGTTTAGACCATGTTTTGAGCACCCAAAATCTGATCTCACTCTCTCTCTCTCTCTCTCTCTCTCTCTCTCTCTCTCTCTCTCTCTCTTCCTCTCTCCTCCTCCTCTCTCTCTCTCTCTCTCATATCTCTCTCTCTCTCTCTCATCTCTCTCTCTCGTCTCTCTCTCTCCTCTCTCTCTCTCTCATCTCTCTCTCCCTCCTCTCTCCTCTACTCTCTCTCTCTCTCTATCCTCTCTCTGCTCTCTCTCCTCTCTCTCTCTCTCTCTCTCTCTCTCTCTCTCTCTCTCTCTCTCTCTTTCCTGACGAAAAATCGGAAAAATGACAACCAGGCTGAAAGTCCGTGCTCCAAGCGGGCAGCAAGCCTAGTCCCATATCACTCAATACGTAGCACCCATTTCGTAATAATAGACAGATCGGAAGGAATTCCAACAGCATCGCATCAGAGAACAACACATACAAAACACGAGATCGCCATGCAACACGCGCTAGCACGATGCGTGGGTGGTAGCGCGTGTCGCGTGAATAGGCAGCCGCGTTTTGCCACGTTGGCGTGCTGGGATACGACCGACTCTCATCAACGTAAAGTTGTGCAGCTTCAGATCATAGCTGGGACTACAGGTGTTTCAGTAGCTCGACTATTTCTGGTGATCACACTCGTGACTTCCACCCGTGCTGAACGACATGGTTGGTGCTATTTGATCTGTTTTACGTGCATCTTTTGGCGTGTCACGGTGAAGTCCACGCTACACAACTGTGTCAGAAAGTTATGCATCAATATTGTATCCTGCCGATAGGAGGATTAGCGTGATTGTGTCCTACCGATAGGAGGATTAGCGTGATTGTACCCTTCCTTCCCGTAATGAAAACAAGGTCTATAGGACCGCGGCTGAAGTAGATATTCACTAATGACCTTGGACTACATATGACGTAAGACCCCACGTAAGAAGCCATAGCACGCACATCGCTGGCAAAGGAGCGAGGACACTAGCGAACCTCGTCGAGCCACCGCGAGCAGGGAGCGACGGCTGCCAGGCCCAGCGCTCTCTCACGCGTGGGCTGAACCCACTTCCTCAATCCCACCGCAAGCCATCGGCCGGAAGTAAATGAAATGGCGGATCAGGACTGAATGTCAATGGGATGAGCTAAACACGGCACATAAGTGGGTCAGACCCACTGACGCCTCAACTCCGATAGTCCTGCACAGCCAGACATGCCAGGTAGCCTAGGATGTGTCTCGATTTGTGAACGACAACCCAGGCGTGGGCGATCGTCTTAAAAGGCGCTGGCGGTTCAAACATGCCACCCTAAATACCACTGTCCTGATGTGGTGATAGTAACTCCTAACGTACACTAGTTTTATTGAAGTGCATTCAGAAATGGCTCCCTTCTGCAATCACTCGGCAGCAGCAATACACAGATGGCATGCTGCCTGCTCATGCCCACAGGCGGGACGGCACGAGCGACCGCTGCCTCAGGGGTGATGCGTGACTCGGGCTTCCAGACGAACTCCGCACCCCGGGGAAAGAAGCTGATAACAGTCACTATCGTATCGACACGTGCGACGGAGGATCCGGGGCTGGATACATGCGCCGGGTGAAGAGGCTGAGACCAGCCACTATCGTATCGACAAGTGCGACGGAGGATCCGGGGCTGGATACACGCGCCGGGTGAAGAGGCTGAGACCAGCCACTACCGTATCGACACGTGCGACAAAGGATCCGGGGCTGGATACACGCGCCGGGTGAAGAGACTGAGACCAGCCACTATCGTATCGAGATGAGCTAAAGCATAGCAATGAATTCCTCTCAGAGCTAGATATCTCGCCCCAAGGCAGTTTTAATTCAATACATGAATGGAATGCCACAGGTTATTATGGGCGACGCTTCTGTCAAAGGCTTGGATATTTTGAGCTGCCGTACGATTTGTGCTCGCCGGAATGGATGGAACTATTTGGCGAAAAATCTGTTCACGATGGGCTTGACCAGAAGCCGGACTGTTTCCATAGACAACATTTTTGGGAAGATAACACGCACATACCTTATGTTCACACATCTTTCCTTCTCGTTCTTCATGACGGGTCGCATATTATGTGTGGTGAAGTGGCGAGGGTATCATTTTTAGGATCGATCCCCATTCACAATACATATACGTGCTGCGACCAGAGTGCAGACGCCGGCATCGACCGGCGCAGTGCGTAATACGCCAATGGGCTGCCAGTCTTGGTTTGCCTCGACGTCAAAAGCGATTGTTTCAGCTGTGTGCCGTTCATATCCACTCGGGCGTCCACTGACCTTGTCACTAGATTAGCGTTATGGGGCGCGACACGCCACCAGCTGTAAAAAGACTGCGCTCAGTTCTCTCAGGCGTGGGAGGGTAAGGCCCCACGAACCGCCTTCCTCTCAGGCGTGGGAGGGTAAGGCCCCACGAACCGCCCTCCTCTCAGGCGTGGGAGGGTAAGGCCCCACGAACCGCCCTCCTCTCAGGCGTGGGAGGGTAAGGCCCCATGAACCGCCTTCCTCTCAGGCGTGGGAGGGTAAGGCCCCACGAACCGCCCTCCTCTCAGGCGTGGGAGGGTAAGGCCCCACGAACCGCCCTCCTCTCGGCTAGGTCTCCGCGACCACACGTGCGACCGTGGTCGTGCTCCAAGCGGGCGGCGGCACGGTGTCGTTACCAGAGGTCGTCAGCCCGGCGGCCAGGCATCCCGCCGGACAAATGAGGTTTATTTTGTCGGATGCGGCCACGGGGCGTGACGCGCACGGCGCCGCGTAGGTGGACGAGTGTGTCCGGCCCACCCCGGCCCGGGCGCCCGGTAAACATAGCCGAGCTGCCGCGGTTGCCAGACGCCGCGACCTCGCTCGTCCAGCGCGACGCGACGCCCGCCCGCCGGCGGCCGCGAGCCGTCCTCGCCAGCTGGGCTCCGCGTGGGGCGTTACATGTCGTCCGGACGTGACACCGCATCTGGCGGCCCTCCGCACGCAGAGTTAGCTCAGCTCTGCTGAAAGGGGTCCGCTCAGTATGGCGCCGAGGGACGGATCCTGCTCCGGGCTGTGATGGATCCCACCCCGTGTTGGGCTGTGTGCGTCACGAGTGCTCGCGCAACTGCAATGCAGCTTTGGCGCCGCTGTGGGCACATTTTCCCCACATTGGATCTCTCCGTTTGTCCAACTGACTTAGGGACACTACACCACTGCCCGTTTTATGTCTGGCCTAGCTGGGATACCCTGAGATGCCCAGATAATGAAGAAATTGGCATGCTGCAAAGGAACGATTTGGGATGGTTTAATTTTGGATTATGACAAAAATGTCAAAAATAATCTGATTCGTGTCGTGGACATTAATATTTGTATTTAATAGTGGGGCACGCTCTAACAAATCACCGTCATTTATTGCTAGGGCTACACAGTTAACACAATCCCAAAATATCACACCATCAAGCATTCACTTTCGTGGAAACCAAGGGCAAACTACGACATACACTCTGCAGAAGCTATACGCCAGTCTCAGAATACCACCACGACGTCTCTGACCAAAAACGGGTGGCCCCGCCCGACTAAGAAGTCTGATCAGCAGGACCACTCAGAGGAGGAGGACGGGGGGGGGGGGAGGGGAGGCGGAGGTTAGCACTTTCTGAGGTACAACATGGCGGTCCGCTACCCGGCTGGAGTTCTCAGCCGTGCTGCAGCTTTTCCCTGCTTAAAAATCTTACGATTACATTGCTTTCCTTTACACTGCATTCTTGGTCATGCCCTCGTGCGACAGGCTAAACAGGCCGGCCGCTCACTCTGTAGCAGCCGACGTACATTGAACTCCGGGAGAACACTGTCTCCGTCAGTGCCCTCCTATGTTCTAAGGACTGCCATGGCCTATGTTCATAGCCACGGTGTAATTCCGCTTGGCAGGCAACTGCATCCGTTTGATCCACCCGGATATGACAGATGGGATTAGGGAGATTCCTGGGATGAAGACGTCATAATGGTCATCATTGCAAGACTTTGTGATCCAGGTTTCGTGGGAGCATGATGGGTGTACCTTGCCTGAGCACCAAGTTGTGTGGGTACAGTCCTAATGACTCCCGGCTGCTGAACTCTAATGGGTAGTTCACAACCTTCTCTGAGCTTGAGACAATGTCCTTAGCCTTGCAAACGCTCTTCTCTCCGCAGTGCTTCCCCGGTAGATTGGAGTTCACATTATCAGCACCGAAGTTTTTAAGCGCCAGGCCGCTGCCCGTTACGCTAGGTTAAGCCTTGGTTCTGATCCTGCAGGTCGGAAACACGGTGGCGAAGAGGCCGTTGACAGATTGCATGTGTCCATCGGAGGGAAGCTTGATTTAGCTGTCTTGGCTCTCGACCCGACCGTTGCCAACTTGTAGAAGCTGGGTGGCGAAAAGTCTTGCTGCGTTGTCGCTGTTAAGTGCACGCGCATCGGTGGTGGGGTGCTTACTGACGATCTACTCACGTTTTTTCTCGTCCCTCATCATTTGTCACGCCGTAACTTACGTAGTGCCACGAACAAACACGGACTCGCGCAGAAACCCCTCTTGGAATCATCTCTCGGCTGCCAACCTCTAACCATCTGCTTGCAACTGACAGATATGTAATAGATAAGCACGTGACAAGAGATATTCCTCGCTGCTCTGACAGCTCTCGAGTGGCGCGGAGCCGACCGTCAGTGCTATGGGGCAGGTTTGTTCTCGCTGCACCATGCTGACAGCTCTCGAGAGGCGCAGAGCCGACC